ACCTATATAGATTATTGTATTTCCGCAATTTGTACGTACCTCTCATAAACCCGGGCCGCAATTCGTACGTTCCCCTCATAAACCCGGGCCGCAACGGTCGGGTAACACGATGAGGCATTCAATCCGAAAACTGTGACTGAGTGTCTAGCGGTCTCTCCTCGTCTGGTGTAATACTGTGCCCCGCTGTATGCCCGGTTCTGTTTTGTTGACTGTATAAGAAATTAGGAATTGCGAATAATTGTAATCGAATGTCTAGCTATCAATCATCGATGTATGCAAATCTATGAGTTATAGGACATCTGTGTATAGCGGATTGGATACATGACCCGTCGCATGCCCTGTTCTTTTGTGCGTGCAAAAAGGATAAATGCATAACGAAAACGGTAATTGAGTGTCTAGCTCTCAGTCCTCAACCGGTACAAATTTGTACCAAATTTGTTTACTGGACATACCTCCTAACGTCGATAGTCTGATATTGTATTATTGTAGGAGAAAATGTTAAAGCCGAATGTCAATTGAATAAAAAGGTTAAGTAGTCGATTTAAAGGCAACCATACTTCCCAGGCGGAATGGGACATTTTGGCGTGGCCGTTTTGGCGGGTCCGTTTTGGCGTGAAACTAATTTGGCGTAGCCGTTTTGGCGTAAATGTTTCAGATTAAAATAAATGTATTAACCATTAAACCAGTCAAAACGTATTTTATAGCTCGGTTATCTACGTTTTGTTAATAAGTATGTCTATTGTTCAGTAACATTCGTCACTGTCGTAATGATGTTGTGCGATAAGTTAGTTGTTGTCCTAGCCCCTAGGACCTAAAATGTCGCTTGCTAGGTATGGCATAAATATTTTCTACAATTAATATTGAGTTTTATATTTCTTTAAATATTGTATACTTATTTATAATGTCAAAATTAATTGAATCTACACATGAACGAGACGTCTTAGTGAATAATGGTTATATGTATTTATTTGATGCATTAAGTAGTGATAAAAAACGCCGTTTTTGGCGTTGCCGAAATAAAAATGATTGTAAAGCTCGAGTACACACAACAGTAGACGATATTGAAATAATAAAATCAATAAATGAACACACTCATGATTCCGAAGCAGCAAAAATTGAAGGAAATGTAGCAGTTAACAATATTAAACGACGTGCGGCTGATACCACGGAATCGACATCAAATGTCATAAACGAATGTCTGGCTGGATTATCAGAAGCAGCTAAAGTAGGTGTAAATTTAGATTTGTACCTATAGTAAAAATATATATACAATAATAGGTAACTGGACACGGCAATGCGTTGCTATTGCTAGGTTTACAAATAAAAAAAAAATAATAATATTTTCTCATACATAATAACAATAATACACGGCCTACAAAAATGCCAAAAAACAAATTAATACGCGGGAAACGCCGTGTCTGGACAGTTAGTTATACTATAGATTATTATATGAGGGGTTCTTTTGTAAAACTGCCTATTTCCATTATTTATTTTTTAATTAATATTTTTAGGGGGCCATTCAATCAAATTATGCATTGAAAAAACAAGTTAGAAGAAAACGAAATAATACGCAAGCCGTACCTGAAGCACCTAAGGATCTCACAACTCTAGAAATACCCGACGTGTATAAAATGTATTCACCATCTGAAGGACACGTAGAACAATTTTTATTAGCTGATAGTGGGCCTGGGACAGAAAGAATTTTAATTTTTGGAAGACGTCGATATTTGGATATTTTACGAAATTCTAAAACATGGTTAGGAGATGGGACTTTTAAAATTTCACCTCCACTTTTTACTCAAGTGTACGTTATACTAGCTGAATATTTAAATGGTGTACACCCTATTATATATGCATTACTGCCTGATAAATTTACAAAAACGTATGAAAAACTGTTTCAAATGTTGATAAATTTATGTCCTGAATTATGTCCTACATCTATTTCATTAGACTATGAATTAGCTGCTATAAATGCAGTGAAAAAAAATTTCCCAAATATTATTATTCATGGTTGTTTTTTTCATCTCACAAAAAATTTCAAAAAAAAAATTGGTGAACTGCATCTTATATCAAAATATAATAACGATGCAGATTTTTCTATTTCTGTTAAAATGATAATTGCAATTGCATTTGTTTGCATCAACAAAATTGACATAGCAATCGACGCGTTAGCTGAAAATTTACCAGAAGAACTTCAACCCCTGCTTGAATGGTTTGAAGATAATTATGTCGGAAGATTAAATCGAAATGGACGTGGACGGAGACCCGCTAGATTTCCACCATCAATTTGGAATTTAAACGAGCGAGTATTAAATGGTATACACAGAACAAATAATCATGCAGAGGCAACCAACCGAAGAATAAATGTTGAAATGGGAATGGTCCATCCTACATTATGGTCATTTATAACTTGCTTAAGAAAAATTCAAGCTGGAAGGGATACATATTTATTTCAATTGGAATCAGGAAGAAGTCCCCCTAAAAAGCTCAAAAAATATATTGACACAGACAAGAGACTGCTAAAAATAGTACAAGAATCAGATACTCGAGACATTTTAACCTATTTAAGAGGTGTAGCACATAATATTTCTTTACAATAATAATATTTTTTTAGTAAGTTTTTCAGCTCTATTATCAGCTATCGACTGTATTTTTTAATTAATAGAATTTTTTTAAATGTTTGAGTTTTTTAAATTAAATAAATAATAATTTTAAAAAAATAAAAAAAAGTCTTTAACTCCGTCAAAAATGGCTTCGCGCCAAAACGGCCCCGCCAAAACGGCCACGCCAAAATGTCCTAGATCCTTCCCAGGTATATGGGTGCAGTGGCGGATCTATGGGGGGGGGGGCGACGTGGCGATCACCCCCCCCCCCCCTTGGGCTTTTTTTTTTATTACAGATTTATTTAATATTTTCGATTTATAGATTTACACATTACACAATACATTTTTATAAATTAATAATTATTAATTATTATTTTTTTTTCTCTTTATGTTTCATGATAACAATGATAACAACTTTATCAGACAATGACATATTCATTTATAGTATTTATACCATAGATTTATATTATTAATAATATAATATATCTATGATTTATACATAGAAATTATCTGTGATAGTGTGATTATTTATTTATAATGAATGCAAAATGTTGATGGATGAATTGGACATTCATTTGAAAATGCCTAGGGTGTCAGCTCATCAAAAAAATAGATCAAATCCGAATAACATAAATAATTGTGAAGACTATTTCAGAATTACAATTTTCATTCCGCTTTAGGTGATATATTACCAAAAAATGTTTTTGATACTTTGGATGCATGTTGTGGGATAATCTTCCCAACAATTAAATCCTTGATTTCTATACTTGCTAGTTTGCCAATTAGTACTGCTTCCGCTGAACGCAGTTTTTCCACTTTGCGCAGGTCAGATAACTAATGATAAAAATAAAATTTTGCTTTTTAATTTAAGATGAAAATATCTGCATCTAAATTCCGAAATGCTTTGCATGTTTGCTTATTTCTTATTGTTTTTAATTTGTAGAATAAAAACATGGTTGAGATCGCGAATGAGCGAACATAGGCTGACTGGCTTGGCTTTATTGCACACGCATAAAGATATTATTGTAAACATAGAAGAAGTAATTAATAGATTTGCAAATGAAAAAAAAAAGAAACGTACAATTATTATTATAATTATACCTATTTTTGAACAATATATTGTTATAGCTACTTAAAACAAATAAAGGTACCTACAATTAATTTTAAGTGTTGTACTTCTTTTTCCATAAATTACTTGAACTACGGTCAAGTCTTCATTGCCGGGGCAACAGCAGGAAATGCTTTTTCTTGGTGGGGGGAGGGGTTGAAAAAATGTATACTGATAATTTTATAGTATACGGATTATACAATTTGATCCGGATTGATATACGGATTTCTGGGGGTGGTGACCCCCTCCACCCACCAGGTTTGACCATACTCATCGTACTTGTATATTACTCATGGATATTCCTATTCAAAATTCGCCCCCCCTTTAACCAAGCTTCAGATCCGCCCCTGTATGGGTGTCTGGTTTCGAACGACCTGTGCATACCAAATGAAATTAAAACGTTCCATAAAGCTAATTAAATACTCTAAATTACTTATATAGACACCTGCAGGGGTGGCGTACCTATCATAACATTATTACTGTTCATAAGTACAGTTAAATTAATATATGTGTAGCCTATAAAACATCAGTTAAATGTATCATGTTGTATATAATATGTGTGTTGTGCGCATGCTTATAGTTTTTGGTTTTTAAAAGTGGTTTTAATACTATCAATTACAATCTTTTATAATTTTAGATTTAATATAAGTAAGTAGTAATGTATAATGATAATAAAAATAATAAATATGAACATGGATTATTTGTTTATTAGTTATATTTTTTACATTACAAATAAAATATAATCAATTAGGTACTACCTACTAATCAGCAGGGGCGGATTGGGGAGACATTTCAGCCCGGGAAAATACAAAAGTACCGGCCCACTTATTAATTTATCGCTTATTGAATTTTAGCCAACATCTATTATTATTTATTTTATTTTTACATAACTACACATTTTTTTTTAACATTCAGGAAGATATTATGGTCTATTAAGTTCTGTTTATAATATTTGATATTTGATAAAAAAAAAAACTGTTTTCTTTTTGTATTATTGAACTTGCATGCTTTAACACTTAATTACCAATCACAAGCTCAGACATAAAGGAGTAGAACTATATATCATTGTATGTATATTTTAAAAATATAAATTAATTAAAATAAAAAATAAAAACTATTTGTTTTCTTCAAAATCAACATTTTTAATTTTTTTTTTTTTTTTTTTGAACAGCTGATAATATAATATACACATTAACATTACCTAGTCTTGGTATATTTGATTGTAAAGTATCTAAAACAACATAATAAAAAATCATTTTTTTTAATTATTAATATAATTTATATAATTATTAGTAAGATAATTGGTTCTTCAGTAATGGGCTATTAGACTTCAGTAATTCAATAATTTCATGTTTGTCTATTTCATAAAGGATGTCTTTTTCTATTCCCATAAGCATAAATGCTTCTGATTTATTTTCACTTAATGTGCTACGAAGTCTAGTTTTTATACATTTTAGAAACGAAAAAGACCTTTCACAAGCTACCTGTAAATAAATGAAACATATCAAATAAACTTAGTAGTATCCAATATTATAGTAAAATGTAAAATTAAAAATATTATGCACCTGTGAGCATGGCAAGGTTAGCAGATATTTATAAGCTAATGCTAAGTTGCTATAAGCATTACAATATAAATTGTATTTGTGTAGTACAGAGTAGCAACAGATTGCACAATTCATACAACTCTTGCAGTGTGACTTTTCAGTACTTATTTCATTACTAAGCAAATCACCATCATCTGATTCAACTTCTTTGTAGGCTTCATACGTTTCTGGAATAGATTTTTTTAAGTTACTCCAATTTCTGGAGAAACTAAGTAGTTCACTTCTTAAGCCATCAGTAGTGATTGTTTGTTCAAAAGGTTTAATTTTATCAGTAGCTGGAAGTTTATTCTTTTGTAAATCTTCAAAATTACTTAGCGATAAACAAGCAAAGTCAGTGTACATTTTTTTATTTCCTAAAAACTTTTTCTCAATGCTTGTAATTGTATTGTCCATTATGACATTATATACTTCAATCATATCCTTTATTTCACTGTTCATAATTTGGTTATCATATGCTTTTTCTCCATCTAATGTTTTACGTTTTCTAGATCTTATAGAGGGCAATTCATTTTCAATCTCTACTTCATCAGCTATTTGTGACTGTTCTAATTTTTCTGACATAATATCTATAAACTTTTTCGAAATTTCTTTAATTCCATTGAAGTCTCTCTGAATTTGTTTTAAATCTGTAATTGCTCCACTAACCATTTCTTGATACTTAAGCAAGTCCATACCCTTTGTTTGAAGATACTTGGATAAGGGGCTAATTATATTAAAAATCCGTACATAAGTAAATGCAGTTAAAATTGTTGAATAAGATAAAAATGATTTTTTTAAATTATTAGCTTTTAACTTTGCTTCAGGTGTAAATTCATTTAAGTTTTCTATTGTATTTAGAGCCAGAATAACCTACAAATATAAACCTTCATCACCAAAAATATGTGTTAGAGCTTTTTCCTTGGACCACCATCGTGTGTTACCGATTGCTTGCAATCGTCTTTTATCATTTGTCTCTATTACGTCGACCCAAGTATTCATCCTCTTATATGATTCCTTGAAAAATATAGCTACATCGTTCAATGTTACAAATAAAGCTGCTGCATTGAGTGGGGATATTGTAGACTCTATGACTACTAAATTTAATATATGGGCATAACACCAAATGTGGACTTGATTAGGAGACAATTTTTCAAGCCACGCTGAAAAACCATTAAATTGCCCTTGCATATTAGCAGCACCATCGGTAGCATTACCAATACACTTCTTAACATCCAAGTCACTTTCAGTAAGAATATTAGACAACATATCAGCAAAACTTTTACCAGTTGATTTTTGTATGGTTACAACTGATAATAACATTTCTTGAATACCTTTTGAATTTACATACCTTACCACAACAGTACATTGATCTTGCACAGAAATATCCTGAGTTGTATCTAGTTGTATCGAAAACATTCCTGTTTCATATTGCATTCTCAGTAGTTTTTTCAATATGATCATTTAAAACAACATCATATTTTTTCAAAAGTAAAAGAATATCTAAAAAATTCCCATGATCAATAGCAGGATCTTTTAAAATTCTTGAACTTTCATTTAAATTACCTCTAAAGCTCAGCCCTCTTTTACCAATTAATTTAATTACATCAATTACACGTTCAACAATATTAAGATTTTTGGAGACTTCACTTTTTTTCTTGGACAATTGATCAGTAAATAATCTATAATCAATAGTTTTTTTGTTTGAATAATTTAAAAAGGACTCTGAACATAATGTGTGACATTTACTAGTTTCGTGTTCATGAATTCTTTGATAAACGTGACTCCAAACATTTAAACCTTCAATGGATACATTTTTTTCTGATGAAAATGCTAAACACACACTGGAATATAATGATTTAGATATTAGGTCATAAGATAGCCAACGACGTTGACTGTTATTTTTTCCATAAAAAGCCTTAGAGGATTTAAATTGAGGAACAAACACAGGTTGTTTTGGGTGAAATTCAAAAAATTGCACTAACTTTGTGGCAATTGGTTTTTGAAAGTAATTAAACTTGCTAGGAATACTACTTGATTCAAGAATAGTACACATAGTATTATCTATTTCAGTTGCATTTGTATCTACATTTACTGTCAATTCTGTTTCTGTACTACTTAACATATCTTGATCAGGATCATTCATAGTTCTCACACTACTTATAATATTACCTATATCCTGTAATCACAAGCAAAGCAATAAGCAAACTAAAGCATTAAGCAATTTTATTGTATCAAGAGTGCACTGTATACAATTTTAAAATATGAAGGAAAAACTATACTAATGTACAAAATATGAAACAAATATAAAATGTATACTTACCTTACATTTGGAAAACATGTTTAAAATATTTGAACAGTTTTTTGCTTCATTTTGTAGCATTATTTGTTTCTTTATTCGCACTTTTTCTGCGCCACCTTTACGTTTTTTAATCACTTCGGGTTCGGACATGATGGAAAACGAATAACCATGAATAAATGAATTATAAGTTATAATTTAATTACTATTAACAATGCACAGAAACTAAGAAAGAGAATAAATTAAATAACACAGACACACAGTATCCTTATCCTTATCACAACTAGTGCCCGCCAATGTATTATTTGGTTACGTTATAAAGCGATAGTATTATCTATGTACCTATTCTGTGGTAATGAAGTATCTTGATTTGTGCTATCACGGTCGTGATAACTTATCACTAGTCACTACCGTGGTAAATGTCTAAAAATAGAAAATCATTAGGTATTTCGACTCGGTTAACCACAAGTAGAAAAAAATATATATTTCAAATTTTCAAAATACATTTTTGAGAAAATATTATTTTTAAATAATTTTTTGAAGAAGCGGCGCACCGGGAAAACTCCCGAAATCCCGGTGGCCCAATCCGTCCCTGTAATCAAAGATACTATCATGTCGTTACTAACACATGTAGTAAACCAACAGAGTCGTTTTCCTATAATTATACATCATAAGGACTTTGCACTATATGATATATTGATCAACAACTATAACATGCCCTGAGGTTTATTACCTACTTCAAGAACACCATTGGAAATCGCATAACGATTTCTAATAATACATATTGCCAAATAAACCAGTTAGCAACTCAAGGTTTATTCGACAACTTTAACATTTACGTCGGTACCTTTCAAACCGCCGGTATTCCTTTGATCCACCTCCGAGTCTCTACCGTGTACCTAATGACCAGGGGAGACTTTGTATATATACGAGTCTCCGCCTGTATCTAAATTAGAATTAGCGCAGTGCTAGTACGACGTACATACTTGTAAGTACTTAGTATTAACCACTAATCTCTCGGGCAGACGCTTATCGCTCTGTCCTCAAATTTCTATATTCAAATGTAATACCATTATATTATTATTAACTTTAAAATAAATTACTTAAATTCAGAGCCGTGCCGTGGGGGGGGGGGCTTGGGGGCATATGCCCCGGGCGCGTGGTTTAAAGGGGCGCCAAACATTTTTTTTTAATAATATTTTAAACTTTACATAAATAAAATATATGAGAAAGATTATTGTTTTACAATTATTTTGAACCATTACAAATTTTTTCTGAACAAATTTCTGACTATGTTTGAGGAGTAACAATTAGTCAACCAAACGTTTTATTCTTGTTATATTATTGGCTTTATAATAAATTATCGTATTATTTATCTCAAAATCGACTGCACGTCGAGCACGCGAAGTGCGATAAGCGTTAGTAAATAAAAACCAGATACAAATTATTGCCTATTGGTATTAACTTTTATATATTATTTTTACATTTTACAAATCACCATGTCATGTCAGTTGTCAATAGTCAGTACGTTATCTGAATCGAACCGGGCTACACGTTCTTCTTGTTATTTGTTCGTGTTCGTATAATTATACCGTACACACTACATGTTTACATCGGTATACCACCATTGAAAACAAATTTGCTCTTGAGTTTTTTTTAAGGACTTAAGAGGACGTCTCACCCGCATGTGTTGTCTCCGTCGTACACACATACGACATAGCAAATGTTCGTTGGCTAGTTTCAATAGGATATTGTCAGTTTTTATATTAGAGTGAACTGACCTATTATCAAACTTTTAGGTAAGAACAGTATCTGTGTTCTCTCGTTGGTTTTTTACGATATTTTAATTTTTAAGTGAGTTATGGGTATGTAAAGTATTCATATTCTAAAATGTTCATAACTCACTTAAAAATTAAAATATCGTAAAATACCAACGAGAGAACACAAATAATGTTGTTACCTAAAAGTTTGATAATAGGTTGATTCACTCTAATATCAAAACTGACAATACCCTATTGAAAATAGCAAACGAAAATTTGCTATGTCGTACGTGTGTAAGACGGAGACAACACATCCGGGTGAGACGTCCTCTTAAGGTAAGATATGTAAGATATATTTTTATAACCTACATAGTATATGAATGACAGTAGTTAATGGCAGTATATTTTTGATTTATAGAATGGCCCCTAAAAAACTATCAGGTGCACAAAATCAAAAAAGAAAAAAGAATATCGAGTTAGAAAATAAATTGTTAGCCACTCAATGGAAAAAATGGATAAATAAATCAAATCAAAGAAATTCTTCATCTAATTCGACTATTAATTGTAATGAGAATAATAGTAATGAAGTTATAGAGGAAATTGTGTGTAATGAATTATTAGAAAATTCCGATGAATCGATTTCTGAAAATAAAATATTAAAAAAAACTGAAATACTTGATGCCTGCAATGTGGAGATTGAAAAAAATATTAAAAATGAATCTCAAGTTACCGAAGAAATATTCGAAATTGATTTTAATGATCCCTCTTCTTGGCCACCAATTACTGGTAAAATTCGTACATTATTGATGAACCATGGTCCCGAGACGGGTAAAAACTCTGATTTTTATTTTTCTGAAAATGTAACTAACAATAGGCGATTTACAATAAATTGGTTCACTAAAATGTTACCAAATGGTGAACAAGTTGAGCGTTCATGGCTATTGTACAGCGATAAAACTAAATGTGTCTATTGCTTTCCATGTATGCTTTTCGCAAACAAAACAATGACTTCTCCATCAATAATAGATCCACAACAAGGATTTAATAATTGGAAAAAGTTAAATCCTAAAATACCTGACCATGAGAATAGTAATGAACACCGTACAAATATGTTTAAATGGGCCGATTTCAAAAGTAATTTAAATAAAAATAATACGATTGACTGTGCACTGCAATTAGAAATTAATAATGAAAAGGAAAAATGGAAACATATTTTGAAAGTTCTGATTGACTGTGTTAGATTTTGTTGCGTAAATAATTTAGCTTTGAGAGGATCTAATTGTGATATAGGAAAACCTGGCTGTGGAATATTCTTAAATTTAATTGGTCTAATTAGCAAATATGATTCTGTTTTATCAAGTCACTTAAAACATAAGGGGCAAATCACATATTTATCAAATAAAATCCAAAATGAATTTATAAATTTACTCGGTTCAAAAGTACGAAATGAAATCATTCAGAGGATAAAAAATTCAAAATACTTTTCTATTATTTTTGATTCCACCCCGGATGTTTCTCGTGAAGATCAACTCTGTGAAATTATAAGATATGTTAGAGAAGTTAATAACGAGTTTGTCATTGAAGAAAGTTTCGTAGATTTTATTTATACCAATGAAAAGACTGAACTTGGAATAGCTTCTGATGTATTACAAAAGTTGGAGAAATATGGACTTAGTTTTAAGAATTGTCGTGGACAGGGCTGGTATTGCGTCAAAATGTCGCGGTAAAAATGTCGTGGTAAAAAGATCGCAGCAAAAACGCCGCGATAAAAATGTCGCCAAAACAAAAATGTCGCAGGTAGTAATATATCGCCGTAGTCGCCGATGTGGCTGCCAGTTCCGGTTTTCATTCGGTCGTAGGTATGATTAGATTAGATTAAAGTAACATAGGTAATAAAACGAAAATAAAGTTCAGTATACATATTAGTGTGTAATCTGCAACCGTAACAGAAACTCTATAATATAATCTGTACATTATGGCATTTGAGTATATAATAAACCAAAAAAATGGAAAATTACTGAATTTTAATCCTTTTTTATACAAGAAAGAAAGAGAAAACGAAAATAAAATTATTTGGAAGTGCGTAGAGTATAATTCAAAGAAATGTCGCGGTCGATTACATTCATCTGGACTAAGTGTAGTTCATACTACTGAACATAACCATGTGGCCGATCTTGCAAAAGTTGAAGCTAAAGAAGCAATGGCAAGACTTAAAAATATTGCAAAAACTACTCAACTTAGTACCCATTCTGTATTAGGAACACTGAAATTACAGGTATATAGTTAATAAACATAATATAAAATTTTCAAATAATTATTTTTAGTTTATGATTTTAGACCACTTCCAACATAGCTGGTCAATTTCCAAGTACAACAGGATTAAAACGAACAATTCAACGAGTTAGAAAAATAGAAAGATCAGCTCCTCCTGATCCAAAATCAGTAACTGAACTCAAAATACCAGATAATTACACAAAAACTTCAACCGGTGAGCTTTTTTAAAATATGATAGCATTGATTACGAAAATAACTTAGACCGGTTTTTAATTTTTACTACCGACAACAATTTACAATTGATGGAACAATGTGAACATTGGTTATGCGATGGTACATTTTCTTGCGTACATAGTATTTTCCACCAACTCTATACTATTCATGGAATAAATTATTCAAAAGTTGTACCAGCTGTTTATATACTTCTTCCTAATAAAAAAAAAGATACTTACAAACGTATGTTTTTAGCATTAAAATTTTTAAAACCACAGCTTAATCCAAAATCAATGATGTTTGATTTTGAAAAAGCTGCTATGAACGCTTCAAAATATGTTTTTCCATCAATTAACATTAAAGGGTGTTTTTTCCATTTAACACAATCTATTTGGCGACATGTACAATCAAAAGGGCTACAAGTTAGGTATACAAACGATTCAAATTTTGCACTCGAATTAAGAAAACTAGCAGCCTTAGCTTATGTACCTGAAAATAATGTAATTTCAGCATTTGAATCTCTGTTGGATTCCGAGTTTTATAGAGAAAATGAAGATAGTCTATCAGGTTTAATCAGTGTCATCAGGTGTAATCTGTGTTCGTTTTACGTATAATAGGTAAGTGTATTGTGTAGTACTACTCTGTAGTCTATAAAATCAATTTTTGGCAACATATTTTTGCAAATAAATCCGAACCCTAATTATAATATATTAGTATTATATTAATCATATTTTTGACATCGCGATATTTTTGTATTCGCGACATATTTGTGTTCGCGACATTTTAACCTCGACATTTTTATAGCGACATTTTTACAGCGACATTATGACGTGTATCCAACATTGCTATGATAACGGCGCAAACGTGGCGGGAAAATATCAAGGTGTACAAGCTCGATTAAAAGAGATTAATGAACATGCTCAGTTTGTCCCTTGTGCTGCACACAGCCTTAATTTAATCGGCGTACATGCTGCTAGTGTATCAGTAAAAATGATTTCGTTTTTCGGTATTGTACAAAATATATTTGATGTCACGGATAGCAACCCAGTTCCGTAGAAACATAAGACGGTACAACAACACTCTTGCGTTTGCCGCCTTCTCCACTGACCTCAATCAGAGAAGATTGCCTGGTCGCGGACCGAGAGTGTTCACTGTACACGGGCAGGTGTATCGAAGGATCACCAACGACGTCGTCAGAAACGACGACAGACCCCCAAGTTATTGTGAGCTCTATTTCATTGAATCTGGGGAAGCAAACCGGGTTCGCATGAACCAGAACCACCAGGTTGAGCTGAACGAGACTGTGCTTACAGACTTGGACACGATGCTGAGGCAAACCAATCCATTTGCCATGGCGTTCAGCAACATGAGAGCAGTGTGGCTGGAGGAACAGAGAATTGCCAACGCCGATCCTCTGGTGGAACCCAGGAGAGTCACCATGCACTGTTTGACTCGAATCCAGTGAACCCACAACACAGGATGCAAAACTTATCATACGGCTCCCAGCACGCAGATCCAATGCTATACCCCCTGTTGTTCCCACACGGTGAACTGGGTTGGCATTTCGAACTGCGACAAGATGATGGTGGCCGGCAAAATGCTGTGCGCACACGCAACACTATCAGAGAATTTGTGTGTTACCGTCTGGCCATTCGTTACAAAGGAACTAACGACCACAGGCATCAAAAATTCAGTCTGGTACACCGTGCGTGCTGGTTATCTGTTTCAACAGTACGTCTGTGAACAATACGTACGAATGGAAACAAACAACATACGGTTCATTGAACGCAATCAGGGAGCCCTGTTTGCCGAAGCGTATCAGGGCCTGGTGGATCACATCAACCAGCAGTTGCACATCGAAGAACCTGCCCCGGTTGGACGCAGAATGATTTTGCCGTCGACCTTCACTGGAGGTCCGAGTTACATGAAACAGAGCTACCAGGATGCAATGACCATAGTGCGCAAGTACGGCAAACCCGACCTGTTCATTACCTTCACTTGCAATCCTGGGTGGCCTGAGATCGCCAGCAACAAAGGAAATCATGCAGTTGCAGGTGACAGACCCGAACTGGAGGCAAGAGTGTTTCACGCCAAACTCAAGCAGCTCATGTCAGACATAACTGAAAATAGAGTGTTTGGTAACGTAGACGCATATGTTTACACTGTTGAGTTTCAAAAACGCGGTCTGCCACACGCACACATACTCATCATCCTTAGCGATGGCAACAAGCTGCTCACAGCCGAGGATGTAGACGATGTCGTGTGCGCTGAACTGCCAGACCCAGCAGACGAGAACAATCAGAGACTGTTCACAGCTGTGACGAGTCACATGATACACGGACCATGTGGGCAACTGAACCGCGACAGTCCGTGTATGGCTGAAGGGATATGTCTAAAGAAATATCCAAAGGCATATAGTGCAGAGACAGTTTACGTTTCTGACGGCGGGTACCCAACGTACCGTCGACGAGACAACGGGATCGAGGCCCTCGTGAGGGGACACCAGGTCAGCAACGAGTTTGTAGTTGCCTACAACCCGTACCTGCTGGCCAAGTACGATGCACACATCAACGTAGAGGTGTGTTCTACTGTGAAGAGCGTAAAGTATTTATACAAATACGTCTTCAAAGGCCACGACATGGCTACAGTAGAAGTCCAAGACAGAAATGAAATTAAAAAGTAAGCATCTGTTAATTTATTTCTTCATATACTATAACTGTTTTAACTCATAAGTAATTCGACTAAATAAAATAAAAAAGTTATTTTAAAAATGTAGCATACTTGGACAACGAAACAAAAGTTCTTTATTAACTTTGATGTATAACTCCTTAAATATTGCTACTATGATTTAAAAAAAAACACTTATACTCAACTTATATTTTTAAATATTTATTTGTTTGTTGTTTTTATATGCAAATTAACAATATACTATAAAATAATGGTTACTTTTCGGTTACTATGTTTTTGATATTAATGTTACATAATTAATTCATACAGTAGTACACTGACCTTAAAAAAATATTTTATTTAATTTTTAAATTTTATTATTTTTATAAGTTGACATTGTAAATTTTTTACATAATATAATTATCTATATGGATGTAATATAAATAACTATATTTAATTGACATTCACAGCTATTGAGCAACGCACCTAAGTTAGACATAGGCTCGATTATGTGGTTAAATAGTAAATATATAACATACTATGTAGTATTTACTTGATTATGACAGTTTTTAGGTGAGTCGTTTATATAAATTTAGTGTAGCATACAAATACTGCTACAGATTCTAAATAAGACAATATTAATAAACAAAATAGAACTTTACGTACCTATTTAATGAAAGTCTGAAAATTAAATTGTATAATGATATGTGACTATATACTATTTGATATAACTTATATAGGTAGAGTATTATATGGAATAAACTATTTATTAAATAATAAATTAGGTAACACTTGATTTTATTATCTCCAAATATATTGTTTAACACGGGCTGGATTATATGGGATAGTCCTATAATATATACTTGAATAGACAATAGTAATATAACAAACCTACAATTATACTCTATGTAGTACTAAATATTTTACAGTTTTTAGGTGAGTTGATTGTTTGAGGTAATGTAATTTGGTAATTATAAATTTTATGTATGATACAAAACTGCTGCAGATACTATATAATACAATATTTATTATAACTAATAGATCTTCATGTGTTTAATTAAATTACATCCACAGCTATTTATCAACACATCTGAGTTAGACAAGGGCTCGATTATGTGGTTAGATAGTAAATATATAACATACTATGTAGTAGGTACTTGATATATTACAGTTTATATAAATTTAGTGTAGCATACAAATACTGCTACAGATTCTAAATAATACAATATTAATAAACAAAATAGAACTTTATGTACCTATTTAATTAAAGTCTGAAAATTAAATTGTATAATGATATGACTATATACTATTTAATAAAACTTATATAGATAGAGTATTATATAAAATAAACTAACTAATAGAACTAATCAAATTCTGGCAGTTAAATTGTATAATATAAATTTTATTTTTGTTATTTATTAAAATGTATTATTATTATTATTATCACTACTCATAACATTATTGTGTATTAATCGAACGAATTTTGTTTGTTTCAGTTACATCAATGCTCGGTACGTCAGTCCGCCGGAAGCGGTTTGGCGACTGTTTTCGTACGAGTTGCATAAGCCGAGTCACAGGGTGATCAGGCTTCCAGTCCATCTGGAAGACTACCACACGGTGTACTTCGCTCCGGGACAAGAACTGGAGCGTGTGCAAAACGCAGCGCTGGCCCGAACAAGACTCACGGCGTTCTTCTCGCTCAACGAGACGGACCCCGAGGCCAGACAGTATCTCTACCATGAGATACCGATGCATTACACCTGGGTGGAAAGAGACAGGAGGTGGAATCGGCGCCAAAGGGTAATGGCCAACGAGACGTTGTCTCGGATGTACGCGGTCAACCCCCTAGATCGAGAGCGATTCCTCTTGCGACTGCTGCTGCTGCACAGGAGAGGTCCTCAGTCGTTCAGAGACATGAGGACCGTCGACGGGGTCGTGTATCCGACCTACGCGGCGGCGGCGGTGGCGCTTGGACTCCTGTAGGATGACCAAGCCCTGCTGGCGTGCATGACAGAGTCCGCGGCCGTGGACACTCCCGCACAGCTGCGTTACCTACTGGTGACGATCCTGCTGTACTGCGAGGCCGCGGATCCGCTGGCGTTATACATGGCAAGCGAGGAAGACCTGAGGCAAGACTTCTTCCACAGACTGAGAGACGAGGACCGCGCGAGAGCCGCGTGCCTGGACGCCATCGGGCGGCTGCTGCGGGGTCACGGTAAAACGCTGGCCGACTACGGGTTGCCGAATCCGGACGTCGCGCTGCTCGAAGAGGACGCGGGAGGAGACGTCTACGCCTTCGTCGACGCAGTGGTGCGTTGGACTCTGCAGTTGGACAACCTCAACGACGAACAGCGGGCGGTTTACGACCGCGTGATGGCGGCCGTCGACGACAACCGCGACGTCCCGAAAATGTTCTACGTCGACGGGCCCGGTGGTACTGGGAAAACGACGCTTTACGGCTGCCTAATATGGTCGCTCCGCAACATGGGCAGATCCGTGTTGTCTGTGGCGTTCACGGGAATAGCGGCGACGCTCATGGACGGTGGTATGACCGTTCACTCGACGTTCGGTTTGCCCTTCGGTACACTCAACGAAGATTCGACGTCGTCCATCGCCATGCAGTCTCTGCGCGCGCATAGGATACGGGAGGCGGCACTCATCGTCTGGGACGAAGCGCCCATGTCTCCGGGGCTCCAACTGACGGTGGTCGACCGGTTGCTAAAGGACATAATGCAATCGGAACTACCGTTCGGTGGTAAGACGGTTCTATTCGCAGGTGACTTCAGACAGATACTGCCGGTGGTCCGCAGGGGGACGAGGGCCGCGATCGTGGCGGCTTCAATCAGGCACCACCATCTGTGGGACGTCTTCGAGCGTTTCAGCCTGACGCAGAACATGCGAGCCAACAACGACGCGGACTTTGCCGCCTGGTTGCTTCAACTCGGCAACGGCCAGCTGCCCGCGGTCGACGGAAATGTGAACACCGTCGAAATCCCCAGGAATATGGTATGTGACATAGCTAATTTGATTGATTTTGTTTACCCGCAGCAAATGTCGTTGGCTAACGTCGACGACTTTGCTCGGAAAATTATTCTCTGTCCCCGGAACGAGGATTGTAGACAGGTTAATCGCATGGTGCTGCAACGCGTCACGGGTGCCGCGAGAACCTACACCGACATAGACACAGTGGTGGCGGACGACGTGGACGAGATTGCCAATTACCCGACCGAGTTTTTGAACTCGCTGGAGCCCGACGGACTTCCTCCGTACAGGCTGACGCTGGTGGTCGGTTCCGTGGTCATGCTGCTGCGGAACCTCGATTCGAAAATCAGACTGTGCAACGGAACAAGGTTAGTGGTTACGGAACTGAGGCGCAACAACTTCAAAGCGAGGTTGTTGGTGGACGCGGGGGAAGGGCAGGACGACATCGTCATCCCCAGGATACCGCTGTCGTCCAGCGGAGACGACGACCTGCCCTTCACCATGCGTCGGGTTCAGTTCCCGGTGAGACTTTCGTTTGCGATGACGATCAACAAGTCTCAGGGTCAAACTTTTGACAGAGTTGGTTTGTTTCTGCCGTCCCCGGTGTTTACGCACGGACAACTGTACGTTGCGTTCTCACGAGTGCGGGACTCGGAATCAATAAAAGTTGGTATGTACGGTGGCGACGACGGTCGATTTATCACAAGGAATATAGTGTATTCAGACGTGTTGTGATCGGCCGTTTTTGTTCAACCTTAACTTGAGCAGTGCAATTACACTTAATACTTATTAGTTATTGCAGTCTAAATCACTTATGCCGATAATTTTTAATTATTTGCTATAAGTTTAGCCGTCGCTATATGCGACAGCGGGTACCTGTGTGGTCTGACCTGTGTGGTCCGACCTTTGTGGTCCTGTGGAGAGAAAGTTTGACAACCTCCCCGTGGTTCTCTCTGAATGCTTATTCACTGCAAAGTGAATACGTAACTAATGTCAAACGTTTTGAAATTAAATTAATTAACTGGTTTTCAGCATACTTATAGAATTAACATTTTCAGGCTGTTGAAAAATGGTGAACAACTGTGTTTGGTGTGGAAACATTGATGCCGCCATGGAGTTTCTATACACAAGTAAGTATGAACCATTTACGTCCCAATGAACATGACCGTTACACTCACATTCACATTTATATTTAGGTTTCGACGGATATGGTCGCAGTTAGTGCAACACCATGGGTCACAAGTCTATCAAGCTGTGTTCGAGGTTTTTTGTTTCTGGAGACTTCTCGACACAACACTGAGGTTATTATGAATATTTGCATTAGTATTTGTTCATTTCCCACACATATCAAAACCACCAAAATGTGTTTCATTTGTATTAATCACAACTTAATACTCTTATAACAATTTACTTTCATTGACCAAATGCTTTTAATATTTATATTTTATTGTAAAACCTTATATTCATGAGTATACTTCGATATTCTTCATTATAAAGGTTAATGCATTTGATTTTCTGTGATCACTGTTAACTATTACTTGAGAACTATTATATGTTGTATGTGTTATTCTTATTCACTATTCACTATACAATTTAATATTTTTGTCATGTTCTCAGGTTAATTTATTATCAGAAATATTTCATTGACTTTTATTTTTAATGTTTAACTACCCCGTGTTCAATTCATGTTCACATAATATCTAAACAGAATATTCTTATACGTATAACGCATTCATTTTAACTTAGACTAATATGAGTTCAAAAAAATTCATAGACCTTATTAGATAAACCCAATATTGCCTTAATAGTGTTATTAACTTTTATAATGGTTTTATAAAGATATACTGACGTTGTGCTTAAAGTATCTTTACCAAACAAAATGACAAAATTGATTCTGCCTCACTCTTTAAAGAACTACATTATACTATAAGCTTATTCATTAAATTAATTAACTGGTATATTGTATTTTTAGGCTGTTTTGTGTTTTTGTGTGGAAACATTGAGATACAAACCACAACATGACAGGCCAACACA